TGGTGCTTGAGGTTTAGCAAATGGCTTTAGCATGGGTGGTGAGCCTATAAATCAAAGCTGACGTTGCTGTTGGTGCTTCCTTTCCATTTTGGAACACTGTTGTAATAAAATAATATAATCATATTAGTATATTTTAGCTTACTATACCATTAGTATTGCAGCAGCAGCAGCAGCAGCAGCAGCAGCAATAACATCAATCTGTATGTAGGGCAGACTCCCAACTCCGAACCTCTCTGGGTTCAGCATGCCAAGTTCAGTCTCTTTAAAAAATCCAAGTGCTGCAGGGCTTTCCCGCCCCTGCTCTGGAAGGCAGGCCAGACCAGCTTTGAAGGTGGGGCTAGGAAAGAGGTTTGCCTAAGGCCCTCTGCTAGATTTTGGTCAGCAGCTGTGACCCTGAGGTGCTTTTGCAATCGCCCGTGACTTGTGGGGCTCGGCTTGTGGGGCTCGGCTGCGGTTATTTGGTGTGACGTCGGGCAGATACTTCACCGTCGGGCAGATACTTCACCGACATGACAAGACGGGTGTTACCTGGCCGCTCTTTCGTATGTTCCCAGGCTGGAGTTGGCTGCGCTCAGCTGTGCAAATCTGCTTCGCGCCCCACCGAGGTGCCGGTGGGCCGCACAGCACGGCCCTTTTGGAGGCAGTCCCGCTTTCACTCCACCATCGGCTGTGATCTTCCCCTAATCTAAAATGGAATCTCTGGCTGCAGGCGCTTTATCAAAACTATTGTAATGGGATCTCGAGAAGGACAGTGATTTTCAGAAGTTGTGTTAGATGTTCATTCCGGGGGACTGTATGAAAGTTGATTTTGGGAGGTGGGATGAGTTATGTGGAGGGTGGAGAAGCAAGCGATGCTATCGGTGGCATGAAAGAGGCAGCAGCTTATAGCATGGGGAGGCCAGTAATGCAGGGTCTCCTGCACAAATGCACCGCTTTATTCATCCACGTCGCAGCGCAGGCAAAACACTTCTTATCAGCTGACAATAGCCCCCTACATGTGACTCCCCCCCCCCAGCAGGGATGCAGGTCCTTCCGTACACATCCGGCTGAGGCTCGCTGAGACTTCTTCCTTGTAGACTTTTGCTGCCTGCATGCTTCGGATTGAGCCCTTAAACAGTGTTAAGCATCAGTGACAGTATCGCTCTCTGCTCTTCTCTGCTTATTCTTCCAATTATCCCAACTTGGAAACTGTCGGCATAAAACATGAAAAACAGAACTTCAAGCCAGAATTAGTTTTAATCTACAAATACTTGTTTATGATGGGCACATCAATGAAATGGGTGCCAGGCTAACAGCTCATCCCAAGCAGGTTTGTGTTTGCTCCCGCAAAGGAGCTTAGATTTCTCTGTGAGCTCCTACCCTTGACAGACCTCCTCTTTAGAAGAACGTAAGCCCCCAACAGACTGGGTGAAGAGCGTTAGCAGTGAAGACTGGGGAAATATATGGGCGAAATATATATATGACATATATAAAATATATGTCAGCAAGCGTAAAGGAAGACACTTATAAAATTGTATGAAAGTGGTACTTAACTTCAATGAACTGTGTGGATAGTAAATATTCCAATTTATGTTGGAGATGTAGCCATGGAGTGGGTACATATTTTCATATGTGGTGCAAATGAGAATATGTAATGAAGTTTTGGGAAGGGGTTTCTAAAGAGAGTAATAAAATATTAAGTTTAAATATTGAAATATGCCTTGAAACTGCTTTATTCTCAATGTTTGATAAGAAACAATGGAGTTGGAATAATGAAGAATTAATAGCAAATTTAATAGCTGCTGCAGATTAATCATAGCTAAGAATTGGAAAGCAAAATATGATTATCAGTTGTGTGATTGGTACAGAGAAGTTTGGAATATAGCTGTTAATGATAAATTGTGCCATTAAAGTGAGAAAGGGGCATATAAGGAAAAATAAGTTTAATGAGATTTGGGGTGCTTTTATTGAATATGTGTTAGAAAATGGGAAAAGATTTGAACTGTCAAAAGAATCATTGCAATTTTGGAAGGAGGAAAAATGTACTGAAAGAATTTTTGAATGAGGTTTTTTTTTTTCTTTAACACATATCCTACAGTTCTGGTGATGGAGTACACAGTATTTAAGATTTTTTAAAATAGTATGTCAAATGTTACATGTTTTTATTTCAGTTGTCAGTTCTTTCTTAATTGTATTTTATACTGTAACACTAATTAAGAAAGGAAGGAGGAGGTAAGCCCAGAGCAGTGACTCGTGCAGCGTGGCACTCTGAGAGTTGGTGCATGTGTTTGCCTCAGGAGGGATCCAAATCTACCCCATGCAGGGGTGCATCAGGCCACCTCTCCTGTGGGGTGAAAGAGAAGAGATCCGTTTTAAGAGCCTTTCCTTTGTAACATGAGAGCATCTCTCTTTGACCACACAGCAGTGCCTGGCTCTCTGCTGAAGATTACTGAGTTGGCAACTTCGTTTGCCTGCCTGGCTACAGAAGGCCAACACTGAGGTTGCCCTCTGCACCCCTGTCCTGCATGGTGCAAGACACCCCCCCACCCCCCGGCCGCCTTCCTCCAGAGTGTGCCATTCCTGGAACAGGCCGTTAAAAAGTTGCTGACTCTTGCTCCTTGCTCCTTGTCTCTCCGAATCCACAGGGGGGACCGGGTTTTTATCTGCTTTTTTCTCCAATATTTTTTTATATCTAACAGTGAAATATTTATATGGTCCAATAAAAGGCAGAAAGCTTGCAATCTCTCTCAAATTCATCGGAGACCAAGAGCAGCTTCCTTGTACGAATTTAACACACAGCAGTGACCCCTGGTAATTGACTCCATACATCTTTAGCATCAAGAATTTGCATAATACACAGGAAGATGATTGATGGCTCCTGGAAACCAAGAGGCCATGTGCACCTCCATCCGTCTTGCGTCCCCCGGCCTGTCCCCCCCTGCCCCGCGCCGCCAACGTGGCAGTGACTCCGCGCCTCCTCGCGTCACCTTCCTCCCATCACAGGCCCTCCTCCGCAGCATCCCTGCCAAGAAGAAGATGGGTTGCCCCCAGATGAGGTGCAGCGACCCACCGTGGCAAATTTAGGTTGCAGATCCAGAGGGGGCTTGCAGTGATCCCGTTGCGCTGCACAGCCGGGCAGGACCCGGAACTGGCTGCTCCGTTCCGGTCTCCAGCCCCACCTTGGGCTCCTGCCTTGCTCTGGGGTGACCTGGCCCAGCCCCATGTCATGCCTTGAACACACATGCCCTGCCCTCCTTCCTCCTCCCCCTCCCCCCAGGCATCAGGTTCACAGTCCTGGCAGGGCTGAAACTGGACACCCGCGCCCGGTGCCCTCGCCCGGTGCCCTCTCTCTGCCTGCCCGATCGATGTAAGTCGTGCTCTTTGTTCATGTTTTACATCCATTTTTTAAATCAAAGATAAAATTCCGGGCTGCCTTAAGGGGTTTCTCACTGGCGGGTTTGTATCCTCCAAAGCCAGCAGGATGTGAATCCTTAATTCTTCACTGAAACATTTCCCTGCCCTTGGAGTGAGCAGCGTGTGGTTTCCAGGGCGTGACTTAGCAGGTCAGCTTGCCTCATCCCGGAGCTTTCGTCCCCGCATCCCCTCCCCAAATTCCACTGAAATTAAAAAGCCATCCAGACCTTTAAAGGCTTATTTATGAATGCTTAAAAGCCCAAGCAACTTATGGTTGGGACGTTTTCCTTCCCTGCAGATAGACATCTGCCGGAGGTGGTGTGGAGTCGGTTTGTTTTTTTGAAGATATCACACGGTGCAATATGGTGTTCTTTTCCTCTTTTGACACCATCGGTGTGTTATTTTTACAGTTATTGAGGAAAAGGAGAAAGGAAGAGAGTTATTAAGAATATTGATCAGCCAAATGGCCCACTAATTTGAACCCCCATCTGTATTTATTTGTTTGCATGAAAACCTCTCAAATCCGAACTCTTTTCGGCATCTTTTTGAGGCATGCAGCGTGTTCCCACTGATGGTAAGGCCTGGCCTTGTTGGGTTTGGCTGTCTGTAGGTGAAAGACCCAAGCCCTTGGCTGTGTACATGTGTGCACATGCATGCACATGGGTGCGTGCACACACACGGGTGCGCGCAGGGCTCCATCAAAGGAATGGCCCCTCGTCCCACTGCCGGGGCCTGGCACTCTTCATGTGAACACAGAGCATGGCCCAGGCTCAGGCGCCTGTGCTTCTTCCAGGCTCTCTCAGGTCCCAGTCCAGCCTGGCTGTACCGCACACATAAATTGTCCTGGCCGGAAGCAAACACCTTGGCCCAAGGCACCTGAGCATCCCTCCTTTTCCAAAGGGTCCCGCCAAGACGGGCTGCATCATGCAGTCGCTTCCGTCTTATTCCATGAATCTTGCAGGACGGCACAATGTCGTCCAAATGTCGTCTCCTCCTGTTTCCAACCCTGCCATGTTTCCCCATCATTTCCCCTATCTTTTATTCTTTCTACTAAAAAAAGGATGAGGAGGAGGAGGAAAAGACAGACATGGCTGTGCAAGATCTTTTGCCTGGAAGCCCAAAGTATTGTTCATCCGAACTACTCTCAGCCACAAAAGTTCACCGGAAACACTTCTCGGAAGAATGCAGGAGAGCTATTACTCTACCTATGGATGACCTGCGATCATGTTTACTTACTTCTTGTATCACAAACCTCCCTGGAGGCATCGTCCAGGGAAAGGGGGATATCGCCCACTCCACAAGCCGCGCTCCCCTGTGCGGGTGGCCTGCAGCCCTCCCTGGGGGCCGGGGGCAGATCTCACCCGTGCCTCCTCTTTCAAAGGAATTCTCCCTGGACACACGGCTCCATCACTCATTAGAGTAAAAGCCCCATAACACACGGTGTCGTCCTTTGATTTTCAAGTCACTGGTGGGAAAGAGCTGGCTTAGGAAAATGTTATGTATGAGATGCACAATGTAAAATGCCACAACCCCTCTCTCCCTCCCTGCCCCCCTCCCTCCCTGCCCCCCCCTTTGTGTGCGTGCGTTCTGTTTTGGTTTTGTTCCAGAAGGAGCTTAATTCCGTTGCTTCTGAACTGGCAGCTCGGCAGGAGGAAAGCGAGCATTCTCATAAACATTTAATTGAACTCAGCCGGGAATTTAAGAAAAATGTACCTGAGGTACAGTATATTTGCTATTACAGAATTAACTCGGTGGGTAGGTATGTCCCCCCTCCAACCCCATTCAGTGAATCGGGGGCTTGTGTGCATGGAAGGGCTTTTTGTAAAGTTTTGCACCAACTTGAGTGACTAACAAAGGGAGAATAAGATAATTAGCCACAAAGGCAAATTATAGCCCAAAGAGTTCAATTATGGCTTATGGAGACGGTCTTCGGTGGCACTGCCGTGGCAAGGGGCCCGAGAGGCCGGATCCTGACGCGCGCTGAGTGGCGCATGTGGCAGGCAGGCAGGCAGGCAGAGCCCCCCTCCCCGCATCCCTGTCGGAGTCGTGGGCGTGCGCCCCAGGAAGCCTCTACCATGAAAGTGGCTCTCTCGCTCTTGCTCTCCTCAGATGGTTTATAAAAAGCAGAAATCCTGGCGGCCACCTCTCTCAGCAGATGGGACGCCGCTTGGGTGTTTGCTGTTGTCATTGCCGTGCTGTCTCTCCGCAGAATGCATTTTATTTTAGTCCAGTTGAGGGCTGAAGGCCCCCCCGCCCCCCCACCACATGCCACTTCATGCCAGTCTGTGGTTATATTCCTTGCTTGCATTTATATGCGGAAGAGGAGATGGGGGGAAGGCAGGATGGCAGAGCTTTCTGTCCTCCCTCCCCCAAGCCGGTGCCCTTCCCATGTGCTGGATTGTGGCTCCCAGCGTGGCCGGCCGGGGCACACGGCGAGTTTGAGTCCAACCCACTTGAGGACAGAAGGTCAGGAAAGGCTCGGCATAACAGGGAGACAGGCAGTGGGGCCCTTCGTGGGATGCCCAAGCCCTGCCCCAGGACATCTCTTCCTCTGAGCTCAACGAGGCCACTCCTGCTGCTAAGGGGACCAGCACGGTCGCTGAGGGGCCCCGGTGCCCCCAAGCACCTCCACGGACTCCCCCGTGAACGCCGTCGGCAAAAGCGGGACCTGGCAGCTGGTGCCCCAAGGAACCCTTCAGTCCACGGAGTCCGTGTCCTTGGAGCCCTGCTGAAACGAGTGTGGGCCCCGCCTGGTATCAAAATTAGCCACGGGCCAAGGACAGGTGGCCACTTCCGCCTGTGAATTGGCGTCCCTCCTTCGGGTTTCTTGCATCTTAATTCTGGCCCAGGGCATGGGCCATGCGCGCGTCTCATTGCTACACCGGACCTACAGCCCGTGGCTTGAGACGGGGAAGATGGGCGAACAGGGCTGAATGTGGGTGAGCAGTGCAGCCCGCCTGGCAGCTCTCCGAAAGCGGTCAAGAGGCCGCTTCATCCCCAGAAGGGGGCCTGGCCAGAGAGACCCCGTTCCAGCAGCGACAGTCCTCGCCTCACACTGTGTTCCCGCCTGCTTTCCAGGCCCCGCTCTCCTCGGGGGGTGCCCAACATCCGGCCCGGTGCTGCGGGTACGGGCTTGCCTCTCCCCCACCGGCACGCCTAGCCCTGGCCGAGGGATCCCCGGGGACCTGAGAGCCGCATCGCATCCGTGTTCCGAGCACCACCCTGCGGTCTTGCACAGCGCCATAAGCAAGTCCTGCGATATTAGGGCCGCAAACCTTTCATGGCTTTATCGATTCAATGAATCTACTAAAATCTTTAGATGGATTTAAAAGGCACCCTTAATAGGATAATAGAGCTTTTTAAAAAGTGCCATGATAAACCGTGGGTGGCTGGGGCCATCTTTGTCAAGAGACGTGCTTCTGCTTTTTACAACCTCAGTTACCCTTTCTCAACCTCTGGTGTCTTCCAGACGTCTGAGTCCACAACTCCCTGGCTGGGGATGATGGGAATTGCTGCCCAGTCCAGCAGGGCACCGGGTTGGGGCAGCTGATCTAAACTTATAAAAAATGTTCTTTCCCCTCACTCAGAATTATTATCCCAGTCATCAGTATGCAAATGTAATCAGTTAATTAGTCGAATAAGCCTTGTACAATTAATCCGGGCTTCTTTTCAGTAGGTGATAGCCCAATTTAAAATGAGTTAGAGTCCAGACCTCAAGGGCTGCATTAGCCAGCATCCTGTTGCATCTGTCCAGGGAAGCCGAGCCTGAGCCTTGGACAGGATGGCAGCCTTCGGGGTTTCTCCAGAAAGCCACACCTGCTCCCCTATCCTGACCCCTTTTACCCCGCCACGGATGGACGTTTTTCTGGCTCTTGTGTCGTTTTGCCCCCACCCCACTAAAAGGTGGAAAGAGCTTGCCTGGCGGGGTCAGGGGTCTGGGCCAAGCTACGCCAGTCTGGCTTTTTGGCCAACCCACTTTGCCTTGGGCCCTGCCGCCCAGCAGGGTGCCGGATTCGACCCGCAGGCTCTGTTGTGAGCCAGCCGGGAAGCAGTGCAGGGATGGAATAACCAAGTAAGCGATTTTGCGCTCGCGCCTTAGTCAATTCAAGACTCGCACTATTTCTTTTCTTTCAGGAGGTCTGCGATATGGTGGCTCCTGTCTTAAAAAGTTTCCAAGCGGAGGTAAGACACTATCTTTGCCTAAGGTGCTCTTGTTGACCCCTGTAAAAGCGGCAGGAAACACCTGAGCGGACCCAAGATGGAAACTGGGTGCCGAATTAGGAAGGCACAGCGAGAGCAGGTTCAGGGCCCAGTGCTGGCTCCGGGTGGGAGGCCTCAGCCCAGGCTGTAAAACACCTTCCCCATCCAGGTGTCTTCCAGGTGTGTTGCGCTGCCTCTGCAGGCATGCCCAGCCGCTGAGCTCCTGCAGCGTCCTTCATCCCAGAGCCTCCTTTAGCTCTGGCGCTTTAATCGCCGTCAGTAGCTCCACCCTCTGCCTCTGGTATCTATCCTGTCCCAGTTGTGTCAGAGGGTGAAGGCAGACAGAATGATCTACGGTGGCTGGTGGAAATATTTGCAGAACACGCAGGGAAAACAACATGTCTCTCAATAATTCCTTCCACGTTCCATGCGGGGAGCTGCGCTATGTGATGCGGAGCCTGCCGGAAAATAGTCGCAACCCTGATTCAGCACCACAGACATGGCGGACTGGGCAGGCACCCCGAGGGCCACGCAGTCAAGAGACTTCTGTGTAGACGGCCGTGTCTCCGTTTGCGTGCTCTCCCTCTCCCACCCTCCCTCTCTCGCATAACATTCAAGTTTTTTCCATCTCCTTTATGCACATCCTAGTGACCTCTCCTTTAAAAAAAAGAACGATGTTCTCACCCATCTCTTTTTCGGCTTAATTTAAGCCAGCCCTTAAAATCTGGCGCAGGAAAAGGTGGCTCGTGAACAGGCAGGTGCTCAGGTGTGCGCCTCACTGCAGACGCTAGCAGCTGGGATCCAACAGGGCCCCGTGGTTGCCCTCCTGCTGTTCCTCTCCGAGCCTCCATGGGAAAGGGGAGGCCACACACCCGGCGTGTTTAATCGCCGAGTGCCAAGTTAAAGTCGAGGTGCTTCCGCCTCCCGTTTTGGCAGCCCCAGACCATCTTGTGAGCACTTTGCCAGCGAGCCCAGCGCTGAACTTGATGTGTCCGGGAAAAGCGGCTTGAGCGCCTTCCCAGGGAAAGAGAGGCAATTCCGCACTCCGGGGGAGAGCCCTGGGGACGCCTCCTTGTGTGCCCCTTCCGCCAGAGCCTGTTCAGTGGATGGGAGGGGGTGGCGAGAGATGGCGGCAGGTCAGCGTGCAGGTGAGGGTGGGCAGGTGAGCCGGGAGCAGGCCGGCCAACTGACCAACCAGCCCCTAAGCAGGGACGGTCTGAGAATGGCCCTGCAGAGTGACAAGCCGGGCTTGAGTCGGGCCCTGAACGTTGTCGGTGTGCCATGTCATCTGACGCCCCGTGGAGCCATCTGCTGCCAGGGGGCCGCCGGACCTGGCTCTGGAGCACCACGGAGGTGGGCCCATGGCTCCCTCCACAGCAAGGCCCTGCAGCAGCACCGGCTTGGCTGCCCAGCTGGGTCCCGCGGCCAATCCCCTCTCCAGGCCCTAGTCCAAGACCCCACAAAAGGCAGTGACACAGGCGCGCCTGACGCAGGCGCTCCGGGGCCCGAGGCGGCGCTCTCCCTCTGAGAGGGGGCCCGCGTGCAGCAGGCACCTGCACCTGGTGATCTGCCTTCTCCATGAAGGTGCGCGTGCAAGAGGTGCGGGTGCCCGGCAGCTTGCACGCAAATCTGTCGCCTGGGGTTTTTTGTTGCTTGCACATCCCAGTGACTCCAGACTCTGGTGCCTCCTGCTACTGAGCTGCACAGCAGGAGCGGTGCCTTGTGTTGGTGCCACTCCTTCATTTACTCGCTCGTGTGTGTGTGGGAAATCGGATCTAGTTTGGCTTTAGGTGCCGCCGTGGCTCTGAGAGATTTAAATTCCGCCAAGACGGGGTGATGGGGAAGCAGAGTGAGAGAGAACGAAAGCAGGCACTGGAGAAATCTCACACTTGGAATGCTCCTAAAAGGCCATCCCTCTTCTGGGGACGGGGAGGCGGGAGAGGAGAAGGTGTTCCGCCTTTTGCACTGTTTTTTCCTACCATACTTAGCTCGAAACCCCCAGAGAGATGCCGGCACTCGGCAACAACACATTAGAAGCCTGTCATCTTGCGAGCTTTGTGTTACTTTTAAATCTGTCTCTTTGGAACGACATAATGGCATAAAGAAAAATATTAAAGTAAACAATAACTGGATTTACACAAATGTGGGCTGATTTCCATATTTTTCATCACTTCATTTTATTACCCAGTTTTTACTGATATGCTTATTTATTTATAGGGCAATCTGGTATTGATTCATTCCGAAATGCTTGGCATAAACACATAAGAGAGTGATAACAATAGGAATATATTTCTAGTAGTTTTAAATACTGCCTGTTTTCCCGATAGACTTCATTAGATCTTCGGGAGAGGATGAGGGATGTGGCAGGTAGGGGTGGTGGGTGGCTCCTCATGGAAAGCATTCCTGCCCAAGGAGGAGAGGCGGCTGCGCCATGTCACCCTGGCCCATTAGCAGTCCCGGGCCAACGTCTTGGAGGGGCCGGCTACCCTCCCTCAGCCCTGAGAAGGGCTGAGAATCCTCCAGCCTCCAGGTCCCAACTTGGGAAGTAAGAAGTGTGACCTGTCCGCCTGGACTCTGCAGAACGGGGCCCCGTCTTCACTGGTGGTGCAGAGAAGCTCTGCTTCTCCAGAGGCACGGAGAAGTCAGGGTCCAGATGTGCGTGAACGTGCGAGAGAGGCCAGCCCTGCCTGGCCTGGGGCAGCTAATGGATTCCTACCTCGGTGGCCCTGCTCATTTCATTGTGCCACGAATCCAAGCTGGCCTGCGGGGCTCCTCCTCGCCAGTCTACCCTCTCCACAGGCCTTGGAGGCACGTTTAGCTCAGAGTCAGGGGCTGGTCCAAAGTCACCACTGGGCCAAGCAGGGATGGGAGCCCGGCTCTCCCGAGTGCCAAGCCGGCACTTCAGACGGGTGCGCCATGCTGGTCGGATTGCCCTGGCCTGCCCCAGCATGGCGGCCCTGGAGGGTTAACCATGGAGGAGAAGGAAGGGCCTGCTGCTGCCCTGCCCCTCTGGAAGGGCGGAGGTTATGCCTCAAGGGCCAGATCCAGACGGAAGGGGGATCCGGGATCAGCTGCACGAACCGATCAACACCCACATGCAGAGTCCGTCCGTCCGTCCGTCCACTGGCCCACTCGCTCTCAGGCTCCCCTTGCACCCCAGAGAGGCCCCAACACCACCTTGCTTGGCCCTTCTTATGGGGCTCAGGGCCTCAGGCAGCCCCACACGTGCCCTGGGGAAAGAGCAAATTGTCCCTCCGAGCCACTTCCCTTTCTGTGACCTGATTCAATAAATAAAAACCCAGCTCCGATTCTCCGTCGTGAGGGAGACAAAAGGCTGCCCGCGATGGAAGTGGAGTGGCGACAGCATGAAATGGCCAAAGTTTTTGAATCTCCTCGCAGACGGAGAAAAGAGCAAAGCCAGAACCCTGCTAATTACAAAAGTTGCTTTATGAAAGATAATTCAAAGCAATAATTTAGCAAACATAATCAAGTAGCACAGATGGGGATTCTGATGAATAGTTTGCAACATGCAATTAGCAGCTCTTGCAGTTACATATCATTAACCCTCGGAGCACAAAAATTATTTTCTCATTATTAGATGAAAAGGTAAAATTAAGCTGACTAGACAGTTAAGGAACAAACTACAATTAATTACCTTCATTTATTACAGTCATTATTTGAAACTTTATTTTTCCCCTCCTCCTCCTCCTTTTTCTTCTTTTGGATGGATGAAAACATCTAAATTAAAAGTTTTAGTACATTAAAATTAAGGTGAAACATTCTCTGTGCCCAAACATCTAAACTGGTGCCCCCCCCCAACTAACCCTGTGGTCTGCTCTCCCCCCATGAGAACAGAAAGTGCCACCAGGGCAACTAAGAGGGAATATTCAAGGGTGAAATAAAGGCTGTGAAACGTTAATCTCAGACATCTTACAAGCAGGAACATTTAATTAAAAGCACAGGAGCCCTGGAAGGGCTTACAAATGTTTTGATAGGACTCACTGGCCACAGTTACGGTTTATGACTCCCAAATCAACACAAATTGGGCTTAAGGGGGAAAAGATCTCGTAGTAGGTGCCATCAAGTCAAGCCTGACTTAGGAGGATGTCATGAATGAAGCCCAAGGCTGTGGCTTCCTGGATGGATCCAGTCCACCTCATGGTCTTCCTCCTCCTCCTCCTCTTCTCCCTTTTTACTTTCCCCAGCAATCCAGTGAATTTTGTTTTATCCAGTGAATTTTGTTTTGTTTTATCCAGTGAACTTTGTCTTCTCGCGATGTGCCCGAATTGCACAAGGGGTCCGGCAGGGATCCTCCTGGCCCTACAAAGCCTTGGATGCTGGCCTGGCTCTGTCTCACTGAGCTCCGGGTCATATCCCCATCCGTCCCACTGGTCCAAGCGGTGAGGAGAGACTTCAGGCAGGCTGGTGCCCTGGAGCTTGCTTCCACCAAAGGGCACCCTGAGAACAATTTCAATCTGACGGGCCTGGGCCAATTCTGGGGGACCGGATGGGACTGCAACCCCTCTGCACTTAAACAATCACACACAGACATCCCAAATGTACGAACTCTGCAAACTCCTCTTCTTTTTGCATCAATTATTTTGCCAATTTGCCACTTTCTGATTTTGCTGGTCATGGGACGACGGGGAGAAGAGCTATGAAGATGCCAGATCCGGATCCTTCTACCACGGGAGTCCCGGTTCATCCACAGAGTGTGGCTTTGGAGGCCCTTCTGCGCCATGAGGACCTCAGGATTGGGCCTGGCTTCTGCTCCTTTAAGGAAAGCCAGGCTTCTCCTGGGAAAGGGCAGCAGGTGCGCAGTTCTGGGTTCTATGTTGGAATGCCCAGGTCAGACTTCCCCAACCTCCCGGAGTGTTGGACTGACATCCTTGACCATGCTTGTTGGGAATGATGGGAGTTGTGCCTCAACACATCTGGAGGAATCCGCTTGGGAAAGGCTGGGCTTGGAAGAGCTCTGGACA